ATTTGTGTTTTAACAATTCCAGTAGTTTTGTTCTTAAATTCATATTCATATTTATTGGGATTGTTCTCAAGTCACAAGTAGCCAATGAATCCTTAGTTTACCTTCTAATCCCTGTGGATACGATATTTTTACTACTTGTACGGCCGGTACACTTGCCGTGTTTGAGTCCGTTGAGGGAAGTAACCTAATCTATAATTATAATAAAAAGTACTTCAACGGAAATCTCAACACCTATGCTTTTAAACTAAATAGATATTATAATAAAAAGTTTAGTTTGACCTATTTAATTTTAAATATATGTGATTACTTTGTACGTTTATTAATTTCTGTATGTGGACTGAGTAAATTACATTATTTTAAAAAAATATTTTGTTTTTTTGTTATAGACTATTTATATTATTTATAATATAAATCTATTTAAATAAAAAATTTAATTGTTTCAGTAATAAAAAATTCATACGTAAAAATTAAATTAAATATATAATTTAAATAAAATTAGTTATATACATACTAAATCAATTATTCATCTTTTTGATATAATACTTGATTTCTTTTAGTTATAATATTTTAATGTATTTTATTTAAAATATTAATTAACATATTTTATTATCTTTTTATTTTAATTTATTGTAAAATAATTAAAATATTTAATTTAGTATCGTTAAAAAAATAACCATCATAATTAATTTTATTATTTATTATAATACTTTTAGTCACTATATTAATAAAAATATTATTTTTAATTAAAATATATTTTAATATTTTAGTTAATTTATTATCATTCACACACTTTATTAAGAAGTGATAAAATATAATTAATTTAATAAAATAAAAACTTTAAAATATATATCTAAAATCTGTAACAATTTTTTAAATACAAATATTTAATTAATTTTAATATATACTAAATTTAATATCATAATATTTATTATGATTTTAGTTATAATTTTTATTATCTTTTGATTTAATATTGGATTACTATACATAATTATTTATTCCCTTTAAACATACAAATAGGTAATTGTAGTAATTTTGTGTATGAAAAAGCTTATTAGTGCAGTTGTGACTATTAGGGTAGAAAGAAAATTGATTTCAAGATGGTTTGATTGGCTAGGAACTAAAATTTGTAGTCCTTTTTCTTATAAACTGATTGAAGAGCCGTAATTTAGTGCTTCAATTCATATCATTAAGGCATTGATTACTTCTCACATTTAGGGTTAATTTCGTGGTTTATATAAATATATATATATATATATATATATATAATTTAATCTTTCATCTTTTATAATTTAGTTTTTAGGATTAGAGATTTTTTTTATAAATTATGAATTTGATTTGATGTAGTATTTCTATTTTCTTGTACTCAGACAATTATATTAAATTAATATTTATTATCATCATTCATGTGTATTAGGTTTTAAATTCTAATGATTAAAATCTTCTACTATTTTAAAATCGTTACAATTAAAGAGATAATGAAAAATTTTATAGGTAGATTACAATTCACTAAATATGTATGATGATATATAAAATAATAATCAAGTTCTAAGGACTTATAAGTTAAAAATAAATAAATAAATAAATAAAAGATGAATGACTCGATTTCAAATTTTTTAGTTTAGAGACCAAATTAAAAATTTCTAAAATGTTCATAGAGCAAATAATATATGAAATTTTTAATCGAAAATAACATGTTTTCTTACATTAAAGAAATAACAATATGAACAAATCTAAAATAAATATACAATAATTTTCATTCAATTTACTTTTATATTATCATGTGTTATAAAATATTATAAAAATATTTTTAAGAACCAAAGTAATGCATCTTGAAATTAGAAGAACAAAAATAAGACAAAAATAAATTAAGAGACTAAAACCAAACAAAATCTTTTAGAGGTATCAAACACATATATTACCCTTTTATAAATATAATACATAAACGTATCACTTTGCATTCAAATATAAAAAATACATAAAAATGATAATTTTAATTTATTTTAAAAATAATGTAAAATAATTTTAAAAAAATACAACACAATTATATAATTAAAAAAAATGAGTTCCTCTTAATGATGAGCCCTCAGCGATTGCATTTGCAAACAATGCCCGAGCCGATTTGCCTATATTAGTATATATCTTGAAAAAAGCCTTTTAGGTTAATCCTAATTTGCTTATAAATTTATTTAATTAACACTTATGTCAATATGTTTTGTAATTAACAATTTTGGGCAGAACATGTTTCACAACTGCACAAAAGTAGCGTGGAGAACTAGCCAGAATTGTGCCTACCATCTAATTAGTAATATCTATATAAAGACAAAATTTAGAAATTGTCATTTATAGAAGTGGTCATAATCGGTTCAATATAAATAAAAATTGAATCAAAAAAATTGAAAATAAAATAAAAAATTGATTTATTTTTTAATTGAATTAGATCAATTTTTGACTTCAATAAAAAAAACAATCCAATTCAAACGAAATCAAATATTTTTTTATAATCAAATATATATTATTAATAATTTATTATTAAAATTAAATGATCACCTATACTTAAAATAATGTTTTTCACTTTTATCTTTATTGTTTTAATCAGTTAAAATGACAATCTAATATTTACATTTATTACGTATCAACTTAAACTATTGTTTATTGTCCACTATTCTGTCATAAATATTAAAATAAATCTCCATTTTTTTCTCTTTAGATAAAAAAATTATTTGATTAGTCAATGCAAAATATTTCTAATTTGAATATAAATTTAAAAGTCCTAAATTAAAAATAATTTTAAAAACTATTAAACTGAAATAAAAAAAGTCATTTTTTAATTCAGATTTAATATTATATCAAAATTAAATAGAATAGTAAACTATTTTTATATTTGGCCCGAATGAATTTTTATTAAAAATTAAAATAAACAAAGAACAGGCAAAACCGCTAAATCCCTAATTACTTTTTATTTATTTATTTATTTTAATTGGGTAATATATGTTGGCGCAGCCTCTTCCATTGTTTTGCACCTGCTCGTTTGGCAACTGCGCCGTTTCCACTTTCCGGTAACTCTCTCCCTTTACGTTTTTTCTATTCCTTCTACGCACTCATCATTCTCACTTTGCCTTTTGCTGCATGCTTTTTCTTCATACCAATGTATTACACTTTCTCCTTCAAAACCAAACTCAACTTATACTACGTCACTCAGATTTTCGTTACTTACTTCCCCTAAGAAAAATAGAAGCCGTTGGTTGGTTTGCATCATATTCCCCAAATTAGACCAAACCGAACCGTAATTTGATTTTTCAGTGGATTTTTTTTTTGTATTGATTGATAGTGTCTCTCTAGGGTTCAGAGTTTTTTTTTTCTCTGCGACTGTGGACATGTTTGTGTATTTCGTTGTGCGTAGATTAGATAAATCATTCGGCTGCTAGAGCTTTTTTTTGAGAGAAAAAAAAAAGTTATTGCTCAAAATCTATTAGTTATTAAACAAGCACTTAAACGGTTTCAGCTCTACGATTTTTCATCTTCTTTTAATCTCTTCTTCCCTGTCCTTGTCCTGAACAAGTTTGACTTCCCATATGGCACTGAATTCCCAATTGTGTGATCTTGTGACTAATACTACGGTGGAGAATGGGGTTCTTATTGTAACTTGATAAGGAGGTGCTCATGACAGCGATATTTGAATATTAAGCTTTTGCTGATGAACATGATGTTACTGTTAGTTTTACTGATAATCACTGCCGTGTTTCTTTAAATATTGGATCAAACATTGTAATGGGTAGGAGAAAAATTCTTCCGCCCCTGTTCTACTCTTGTTTAATTTCCCATCATTGACTGGCTGCTGTGATGGAATATGGAGATTCCATCATGCTGTTTATAATCCGACCCAGTTTGGTAGCAGACTATATTTATCTGCATTTGAACATGTTAGTTGTTTATTATTTTCCAGTATTTGATTTTCTGTTTTTTCTGTCTTTCTCTATCTTTTATTGTGGGGTAGGATCTTTAGGCTCTGCGAAAGTCAATGGTGGATATGGAGGGCACAGAAGGCTACAGGCCTTTCGCAGAATATGTGGAAGACAGCAACGAAGCACTCATTAACTTGACTGACTCAACCGAGCTTTGGCTTCTTAAGCTGCCTTTCTCCAATGTAAGTTTGTCTTTATGCTTATGATTTGCTTATTTCTTTTGAACTGAATTCCAACAACCGATGCCATCTAAATGAAAAAAAAAAAATCACAAAAGATTGATATCATCATCATTACAAAAGTGAAAAATCAAGTGGGATGTCAAGCATTTTGTTTAAAAATATAGTACTTGTTTTGATACCCCTTTGCTTGTGACTTCAGTCATGGTATCAAACAATTAACTTCTTTTTGGTCAATCCTCTCTACTAAGCTTATTTTTTCTTTTGTTAGAATCTTTTTGCATATATGTTTCGTGTTAATTTTACTGTTAGTTTTACTGATAATGACTGCCGTGTTTCTTTAAATATTGGATCAAACATTGTAATGGGTAGGAGAAAAATTCTTCTGCCCCTGTTCTACTCTTGTTTAATTTCCCATCATTGACTGACTGCTGTGAAAAAAAATCACAAAAGATTGATATCATCATCATTACAAAAGTGAAAAATCAAGTGGGATGTCAAGCATTTTGTTTAAAAATATAGTACTTGTTTTGATACCCCTTTGCTTGTGACTTCAGTCATGGTATCAAACAATTAACTTCTTTTTGGTCAATCCTCTCTACTAAGCTTATTTTTTCTTTTGTTAGAATCTTTTTGCATATATGTTTCGTGTTAATTTTTGTTGTGTTAGATCTCATTAAGGAGTGTGGAAAAATTCATCCCTGTGTAATACCTCTTTCCATTTGCTAATGTGTTTTCCCTCTTAAAATTGATCAATTTCTATAATTATGTGAGGTTTCATTCCATTCAAATGAGCTGGTATCTGTATTGGGATTGGCGGTGTTTCCTTCGATCTAGGATTTAGATGGTAGAAGAGCCTCTGCTTGATTTTATGTTGATCACTGCCATCATTATCTCACTTGATGTGTGTAATTTGTTGGTCAGGATTTTTTATCTGACATACATGGGCAGAAATTGTTTCTCACACTTCAGAATAATGGTAAACTAGCCAACTTCGAGGGTTCATCAGGTAAATAAAGTGATCAGCTGTGACATCATCAATGCTCTGTTCTCTCCTTCAATTTCTGCTTCTTGATATTCATAATAGCATTTTTTTTTGTGTGATAAGAATATGATTTTTTGCAAGTGCCTTAATTTTCATGTTATGTTGGCAGGTAAAGTATATGATTTTGTAAGCTTTGCTGCTCAAGAGCCAGACGAAACGGTTTTTGTTTCCTCTACTGAACCAAAAATAGGTAAGCATCAATATTTTCTATTACTCATATATGAAGGATGACAACTACAGCAAGGTAAAAGTGATGTCAACATAGCAGTCTTAATTGAGTACATAGCTTTTCACAATGGTGTTGGACATACTTGCTGCAACATCCAAAAGATAGTGCCTCAATATATGTTTTTTGTGCTTAATATAGTCTGGGTTAACGAGTTGTGACTTGTGAGAGTAAGAGCTCATTGCTTCAGTGTTTTAGATCACTTTTAAAAATATTTGGTGTGTTTAACCTTTAAAAAATCAGAATCTGAAAAATGTCTTGTTGCTTATTATTTTTTAGAAGCTACTTTGAGTAGCTTTTGAAAAACATCTATAACTTGATCCTTATCTCTGCCAAAATGGCGAACTATCCCATTCTCCAATTCAATATCTGCTTGTAATTTTCAAGGATTTCAAGTATGGTTTCTGTCCTTATTATGTGCACCAGGAAACCTCTGTTCAGATGTTTATTTATTTTTTTTTAATTTGTTCTGTCGATGTTGTTTTTATTAAAAAAAGTATATGTATGATTCCAATATTAATGTATATTGGAAGTTATATTGTGAGTAGCAAATTATTACTTGTGAACTTAACCAGTATGTTTTTTGTCTTTGGCAATGTTTTTCAGAATGTGTTTTGGATTCATGACTTGGATCTCACTTCCATTTTTGGTTTTTCTCCCGTTTATATTGTATTGGATTTTCCCTTGTTGTATTTGATCACTTTTCATGTCGCGTCTCTCAAGACTGGCTTTTGTGTGTTGTAGTAGTAGTAATAGTAGTAGGTAGTTTTAATGCTTATAGTTTTTTAGTTTTATTTCTTTTAGTTCAAGCACTAAGATAAATGTTTTCTTTTGCTTTACTGCAGCAAAGATTTCGATGCGAGTTTCCACTGTCCATTACCCTGATCCTAAAGAACTTGAAAAGCTCAATTCAACCAATAAAAGACACGCCCATCGAAATTCTTCTGGAGTCACAGGGACAACTTCATCTCGGTATTTCCCTATGCAAAGTGGTGGACATGCAGCTTCATCAAAAGGTAGCAGACAGAAAAGCTCTTTATCTGAAGTTGGTGAGCCATCAAGTATTTCAAAAAGAAGCCACGTGTCTAAAACTAAGTCCAAATCTATTGTGTCTGAGGTTTCACATGGTCACAGCACTGGCATTTCCTCTATGTCCCCAGATCATTCCCATGAAAGAAAATCAAAGAAAAGAAAACATAAGGAATAATGTTTTCTACACTCGCTATTGGCTTATTTATAGTGTAATATTTAAAGGTTACATGCATTTCCCAGTCCTTTAAATATGTCCCGAAAGAATAGTTCTTGACTTTTATGTTGCAGAAGGATGATAAAATTTAAATGCTTGCATTCTCTTTGTCTCTCTACATTTTTTTTTGTTTTTTGCAAATTTTCATCTGGTTCAGTTCGACAATGTTCACTGATGTAAGGACCCCTAGTGTTAAATTTTCATTTTTGTAATGCTCACTGGCATTTACTCTGAGTATGAGCAGTGTTAAATATTTGGAGGGAAAGTTTTGTCATCCAGTCTTACCTATATTCATACCAAAATGTACCACCTTTTATATTTTTCTCATCTGTCTTCCCGTTTGTGTACTGAAGGACGATATTAATTTTGTTGTGGCATTTTTATTTTATGGCCAGAATATCCTTTAAGAATGATGATTTTTCTTGACTATTTTAGCTAATTCAAATTGTACTTAACCATTTTTAAGGATGTATAGCACTTTATTCTTATAATATAAATCATTTAACTCTTATTAATTATAAAATCCATTAGTTTATAATATTTATCTATAAAATTAGATTAAATAATTTATTTAAAAAATGACAAACAACCTAGTTGTATAAATATTACTTAGAATCATTTTTTTAAGAAAACTTATAAGAAAAGTCTTTTTAAGTTATAAAAATGCTATTTAGTGGGTCATTTTTATATTTGGAAAGTTGGAAGACTTTATATCAAAAAAAGTTTATGATGTGTGATGTAGGCAAAAAATGTGAATCAATTGTAATTGGGCAATTGCATATATGTGAATAAAGTAACCTGTTCCCATGTTTGCCCTGTACTCTTAGTGCATTAACAAATTAAAAATAAGACTGGAACCAACTTTTTCTTCTGTATTTAAATTAACAAATATTAACCGCGAGGTCATCAACAACATAAAATACAGTGGAATAGCATACAATATAATTATTAAAAATAAACAGAAAGAGAGAGCTCAGAACACTTTTAATCATCCATCTACTATGACTATGAGGAGATAAGTGATTGACCCATCAACCACTGAATTATCATCACAGCTCCAACATGTGTGAACAAGTCGGGTATCTGTACCATGGCAGGGTACTATTCTACCAGTAGACCACCAGTGCTACTGATGATAAACTCCTGCATTATTTAAATCTCTTCAATAGCGTTAGCTTAAGATTTAAATCATGATTGATTATCTGAATTATATTGACTTATACATAACGTAACCTAGTAAAGATTGATCTATTGCATTGATTGAATAACCTAAAAACATTCATATTTTTATTGGATGATACATATATGAATTCCATATCCATACCAAAATGAATATCGAAAAACACTAACCCATTAATTGATCTTAGAAGCAACTAGATTAATTAATTGATCTCTCCGAATCAACAATCAGAAGGCAAAACAGAAAACGTTCATATTTTACCTGTTCCTAGAAACATGCGGAGGTCAATCCTACTACCCAACAATTATTCCCGCACCCTGAGCGAGGTTTCTCACTCCCCCCTTACCTGGATAAGCAGAAGACAAAGCTAGAGCAGAATCTGGTTGATCTCCTTTTCTTAATTCACCTTGGTCTCTAGAAAGTGTGTCCAGAAACAGTGCACAGGTGCTCTATTTATAGATTTTCGGAGAGGCCAGAACGGCCCGTTTCGAATCTGGAACGGCCCGTTCTGGATCCTTGTGGAATATGTAAACTTGGCACCTGGAACGACCCGTTCTAAAACTAGAACGGCTC